CAGTCATTTTCTTTCTCGACTCAGTCGTCTGGTATTTTGGCTGACCAGGTGGTCCTACAGTACAAGGGGTCCCTCAAGCCCAAACAAACTCTTTATCAGAAGAGGTGCACAAGAGTTATTGTGAGCTTGAGAGAGGTCGTTTACGTTATATTAAGAAGTCTTTTTTTGATGCATTTTAAGTGTTCATTTTTCTCTGTACCAAACGACGAACTCTAAAAATTCACTTAGAACGTTCCTTAAGTAGAGGAGACTCAGGTGAGAGTTACAAAAATATCCAAAAGATTAGCTTGATTTTGATATCCGCAGTTGTTTTGCTGCTATTTTGGTATATAATCAACAGAATTATGATTCAATGCAAAAACATCCAAAACAGAATTTCTTGTGTTAAAATTAATTAACAAAAATTATAACTTTTTCAACGATTTAATATCACCAATAAAAATAAACCGCTAACATAAAAATAGTCTATTTGATAGTGAATTACTCAAAAAAAATTCTGTTATCCAATTTTCATGTGCAGAACCTCTGAACAATTATACTTTTTTTATTCTCTTCGTTTAAAAACTTTTAAGATTTCTTTTTCTGATTGATATATCATTTTCTATAATAGAATAGAAAACTAAAAAGAAGCTATGATTTCAGACTTTCGTTCACACTTTGGACTGATTCTTATACACGACAGTTTCGTATTGCCAGAATGACATGTAAATGTATTAATGGATAGTACATTTTGAGAAACCTCCTTTTTATGTTATAAATTTGAAGAATAATTTGACTGACTATTGTTATGATTCCAAGCCTTCAGAAACTAAATCAATGATTAAGTGTACAATAAGACGTAATTAATGAAAAAGTCTCGTCATGTTATTTTTATGCAACTTGATTCAACTGTTAATTAACTTTTCTACATTTGATAAAACAATTGTGCAAGTGTAATTAATGAGTTTTGTTTTTTCTCCTTTAAAAAGGTGTGGTAGAATGGAGAGAACAATAATTAGAATTTTTACAGGAAAAGTTAATTTTATTGAGAAAACAAATATGTCACAAAATAAATAATATCTTATCAGAAAATAATTAGTACGAAAATGTGACAATAAATTGCCATCCGCAATTAGGAAACGTCTCTAAGCATTTTATGAGATATGCTTTTTTATTCCAAGATTCACGATAACATCTAATTCGTCACAACACATTTTTTCACCATACTTATGATAAAAATAAGCAAATAATAATTTATTTACTTTCACAAATAGTAACAATTATTTTTATTATAAAAAATTATGTATGCATTGAAAGTCTTGCATTAAAAAAAATTGAAAATTTTGGACGGTTAGTATATAAAAAAAAATTAGAACCATTTATTAAAGTTTTAAGATTTTATGTTGACAATGATGTCAAATTTTTATATAATAAAAATCCTTTCGGTAATGAAAAGTTTACATTTCTCATTGTTACAAAATCTTAACAATACAATTTCGGAAAATTAATCTATGATGGATTTACAATTACTAAAATTGTGAAAAAAGAATTAAAAAATATAAAAATCTTAATTGAACAACTGCATATTATAAAAGAGATTGAGTTATTTTTAATGATACTAAAGCAATATGAATATTAATAAATTTTCAAAGTTTTTTATATTGACTTTTTTCTTGTGTATTAACGTGAAATAATTTGTAAAAGTAATATTAAAATTAATTATTGTTTAATTATGTATGAAATTGTTCTACTGGTTGTAAATTGTATGGAAGCTTGAGAATGAAAAGTGTAGATAAAATTGAACTTTCTTAGTATAAAACCTTAAGGATAGGTTAAAGAATTTTGATAAAGATGAGTGAACGAATAAAGATAAAAAAAAATAACTCGTCATCATAAAAGGAAGCCAAAGAACATAATATAACAGAAGGTATTTTTGTTCAAAATATTAATCATTTTGTTTTTTATTTGTTGAACATATAATATTTAAGATTTGTCTTTTTCTTTAAATTATAATTTTTAGGCTAAGTTGTGATTGAGTCTATGAAGTCCATAAGGTATTAAAAAATGTAACCTTGGAAAAACAACTTAACAAAGCGAGGTTATCCACGCTCAATTAAAGTCCGAGAATCTCAACCAAAGAAAATATTGTTGATATGTCAAAGTGTTGATATATTTTTTTATGAATGCCCACATGATGATTGATTATGTTCAAGTATGTAAATATGAGATGTATATTAGATTAATTAAGAATCTTATAATCAAGAAAAATCTTTGACCACTCTTAAAATTAAATTAATCAATTAAGATTAGATTTGAGGAGCTTAATCATGTTTGAAATCAAAAGTGACAACAGATATATTAATGAATTAAGATACAATCTAAAAGCATAGATCTTCTTTGTATTAATCAATTAATACGTGATATAATCAATTAATCTAAAAAGTTTCCAAAAATACGGTCAAATCCTATTAATCAATTAAGTCACGTACATAATTAATTAATATAAAACTGATTTTATTTTTTAATTTTTCCAAAAAACATTTTAATATATTAAGTTATTTATGTAATTGATTAATATTCACAGTTACTTTATTTTTTTACTTTAAATTTTACATATGTTGTTATTTCAATTAAATATTTTGATTTTCTAAAAGCATAAATAAGTAAGAGACATATATTTGAGTGTCTTAAAAAAAAAATTAAAGATTGAAGTTTCTAAAGTTATTCACGATTTGAAATAATAAGAAGATTTAATTTTACTTAATTTCTATATTTCATATGTTTTATTCTTCTCTGACTTTTATCAGGCAGATACATAACCCTAATTATGGAGGTCAATTTTTAGAAATATGGGATTCACGAATGGACCAATTGAAGGAAATTCCCTCTTATTTTTCATGTACAGCCTTGTATTTTCAAAACCTAAAGAGTCTTCTATTTTCAAAATCCCTTAATCAACTTGACCAAAGCAAAATGATATGCATAGGCTACAACAGTCAGTGTTTTTTAATCCTAGTACAAAAAGGCAGAAGCAGAAAACTGTGAATATTTGAGAGAATCTAAGCTAAGGGCGTTCGTTGAGAGAGAGATAGGCGAGTTGATCAGCGCCTGTTTGATCGCTCTTCTGCATGTCGTCTCAGTACAGCGATGGCCTCCGCAACCTTTTCCTCCAGAGCACCTGCTGACTGAATCATATGTAACACCTCAGCCTGGTCCAGCTCTAAAAGCATACCAGTAACCTTTGGTGCTGCATTATGCACCAGCCTTTGCACTAACGGGAATAAAATTTCACCAAGCACCTGCAAAACCATTCACAACAGAGTTGGCTTCACACCATTCTAGTGCCCATGAAAAAAAAAACACTATTCAATGCCAGAAACAGGTCTTACATTCCTCTGCTCTACAGGAGGAGCATTGGCAACGGCTGATGCCAAGGTCTGAGGTGGCACTGGCTGAACAAGGTTAAAGGGGACCATTTCACTATTTTGCACGTTGGGGCGACGAGGACCTTGAAAAAAATTTCCCCGTGGAATCATCTGAAATCCACAGTAACAAGTATCCACATCAGAAGTAGAGAATGGAAAATACAATGCAATGACCAAAGGAATACGGAATAAGACCTGCTGGTGTGACGCGAGCGGTTGCCCAAGACCTGGTGGTCGGTGTCCTCTTGGCCGCGGGGGTCCACGCTGAGGCATTAAGAATGAAAATGGAGGACCAGTTGCCATCTCTAAGCGAGGAAGATTCTGCAGGTGGTAATCAAGTTCTTCCTGTAATGGAGATCAAATGAATTCACAATCTAACATAGAAGGTGAAATTCACATCTTCTAATAATATGACATCACCAAACTGAAATCGAAAATCGGCTTAATTACTTGTGATATTAAAGTTTGATGTGTTTGGCTATTTAAATTTCGTGATCCTAGCGCAGGAGCCCGTATAGGATACATTGGAAATTGAGGTTCAGGAAAAGGTGCTGGTGGAGCAGCCCTATTTTGTGAAAAATGTGCCTGCATAAAATAAGTAAATAATATTACCTGAATGGGATTTACCAAGTTTTATTCTTAAAGATGACCACAACATAATTATAAAGCAAGTAGTTGTGCCCACTCGTATATATTACCTCTAACATTGCTCTTCTCTCTGCCCTTTTCTGTGCAAAGGCAACATATAGAGATTTTCCTGCAACTACTCGACCATGCATCAACACAATCTACAAGTATCAACAGATTTTGTACGAGAATTAATAAGCTCTTCATCAGTTATTAAAGGATATTCCATAATATCTAAATACTTACAGCCTGATTTGCTGCCTCCCGACTTGAGTATGCAACAAATCCAACTCCTTTACTTCTTCCATTTGCATCTCTCATAACCTGAGCATGTCAGGGGAAAACAAACACCCTTTACGGCGACGAAGATTTGACAAATGCAGTTACGCATAAAATGAAGAAACATACTCACACACCTTGGCTGAGATTATTATACCAAACTCACAGAAAATTTTCTTAAGAGTGTCATCATCAATCCTACCGTCCAAGTTCTTTATATACAAGTTTCTACCTTGCCTACGAGAGAAAATCCCCCTATTCTGGTCATATTGCTCTGTCAGTTCACGCTCCCTTTCAGTTTTTTTCTGGGCTCTTCTAACACACCAAGTCTTACCATGATAGGTCTGTCCATCAAGACCGTCCCGAGCTCTAGCAGCATTGTCTGCATTTGCAAAATTCACAAAACCAAAACCTTTTGATCTACCATCTGTATGTCTCATCACTACAGCACTTGTAATATCACCATATTCTCCGAAAATATTCTGCAACTCAGCATCCGTTATTGTGTCTGACAGGTTTTTAACATAAACATTTGAAAAGTTTGCGTCACTATTCACTCTGTCCTGCTTTGACACGAAAGGACCCATATAGATCTTTTTATCTTTGAGCAGCGTGCCGTTTAACTTTTCAATCGCTTCTCCTGCAGATGCTTCGCTCTCAAACTGCACAAAACCATAACCTTTAGACTGGCCAGAAGCATCCGTTGCAACCGTGCAAGATAGAATATTCCCAAAAGACGAACAGAGATCGTATAGAGCCTTGTGATAGATTGACGGAGCCAAATTCTGCGTCATCAGTCAAGAAATTACGAGACACAATTCTCAATTAGCAAGCAGAAAAAAGATTCAATAATACTCATCACTGGGGAAGAAAGCAAAAGGCACCTTTACATAAAGGTTAGCTCTACCACTCTTACGAACACTGGGGTCCCGATTAGAATACGTTACCCTAATGGTTTTGCCATTCACCGGAATGAAATTTAGCTCTTTTATTGCTTTAGCGGCTGCATGGTAGTTAATATTTGCAATGAAGGTTAAAATACTCAAAGAAACAACACTCGCCATTAGTCTATCAATGCAAGAACAAAAGCTGCTACGTAAACTTTTCAATGCAAGAAAGAAAAAGATTAATCCTAAGCAAGAACAACATTTCATTATTAATGCAAGAAAAAAAACAACCATCCTATCCCTCCAAGAGCAAACGCGATGAGTCCTATCAAACCCAGAAGAACATAAATGACCAATCCTAAGAATGTTCAAGAAGAAACCAACCATTGTAACGGCTACTGTAATTCACGTAGGCGTAACCAAGGGACTTCCCAGTTGCGTAGTCGCGGCAAATTCGAACGGAAAGGACTTTTGCAACATGATCGAAGATAATAAAGAGCTGGCTCTCGTCGATGGTCTCGTCAAGATCCCCAACGTACAACGCCGTGTGGAACCTGGAATTCGTCTCTTCACTGCTATCATTGTCAGGAACTTGCGCCATTATCTTTTTTTTTTCTTTCTTGAAAACTGAAAAAACTGAATGCGGTAATAGCTTCAATTCAACTACAACTATGTACGAAATATATCACTATCGTAAAATTTAAGCCCGGAGCAAATATTTATAACGAATTTCTGTTCGGAGAAGAGTTTTTACAGAATTCTGTGACTCTATAGCTGTGAACTATAGTTAGTAATTTAATTTCCTAGTTTTTTTATTTACTATTTTATTGTAAATTTATGATATATACACACGAATTAATGTTAAATTAGATCATTATTAGAATATTTAACAGAAAATGAAATGATAAATTATAATTTTGAAAGAGAAACCAGTAATAAATAACTTTGTAAGAGAATTCTATGCTAAATTTGTGGATTTATTTATTCAGTATTACGTTAAATTTTCATTACTTTAAATAAAGCAATACGTGAACCAAGTTAAATTTTTTTTTTTTTTAATTTCGATAAGAAGTAAAATGATATTTTATATTACAAAGAAAGAAAAATTAACTTTTTTTTGGCACACTATAATTAAAGGAGGGTCATTTTTTTTAATAATATATCATTGTAATTTAAAAGATAGGGTCTTCCACTGTGTACAATTTATACATTTTATTTTCAATATTACCTCAAAGTATACACTCAAAAAAGTGTTTATAAATGTCATCTAACTGCAATTTTAAAAAGGTAAGGTAATAGTAGGTTGACATTACACTCATTTTACATGATTTTATAATAGAAAAATAAGAAATAATGCGTCAAACTTGAGAACATTTTTCTTCCAATCACATCACAGTCCTTACTATTATTATTTTAATAACTTTTTAAAACATTTTAATTGCAAATACATTTTATATTGAAATATTCCAAAATAAATAGTATACTACTCTTTCCGTACCCAAATATCGTTTCTGTTTTAAGAATATGCAAATCAATCCAATTAGAAATGATTGTATGACCCTACTATTGAATTATCTTAAATGCGTGATAATCCAAATATTACAATGTCAATTAAAATATTTATTTATATTTTAAATATGTGTTTTAATATTTTTATTTTATGAATTCGAAACTTGTTTAGGGAATTGAATTTAATAATAAGACCAGCAATTTAGCATTCTTTTCTCACTAGATATTATTTTCAAAAGATGTTTGTATTTTTAAGTTTTTTTATTATAATATTTATGCTTAGATATAAGTTATAATTGAACCAACTATTACAATTTGCATCTATAACATGAGAAGGTATCATGCATCGCAGAAAGACTATAAAATTATTTATATACATTAAAAGTATTCTAATTAGAAGATGGTCTTTCACTTTTGTCGGCTTAATTAATATATTAATTATGTTTTCTCTTTTATTGATGTCCTTTTTATTTCTTCATTGTAAACAAGGACCATTTTCTTCTCCATGGCAATAGAACTTACATCAAGTTTTTTTATCATTAAGGCCAATCATGAGGTTTTTATAAGAAAGTACTTTAATGCTAATAATCGAGGGTATGGGATGTTCACCTGACACGATTTAATAAAAAGTTATATTTTAGTACCAAAACATTCAAAATCCAAAATATTAATTTTTAATTATACTTTTGTATTATAAATGTTATTATAGAGTATACCAAGCTATTACTTTTCTATAAAATATAAAGGGTCTCGAAAGTCCTAGGTCTGTGAGGTTAATATCTGAAATTTATTCTAGAGATTGATAAAATTTTCAAATATTATTTTTAAAATATATTTCACAAACTAAATTTTAAAAATATTAATTCAAATAAATACATTGAAAACACCCATGCATTTTTACTCTCCTCAAGGTCCCTGCAATGTCATTTATTATGCTATGTTCACTTGCACAGATTTACTCTTTAAAGAGATTTGAAGAGATGGATTTGCAGGGATTTTGATTGTTCACTTGCACATATTTAAGAAGAAATAAAATGAATGATTTGAGGAATGAGCTTAAAATCATCTCCCTCTTATGAGAGAAGATTTGTGGGAGAAAAACATCACTTTCCTTTTTTATCCCTTATATACAACTAATAATAATAATAATATTTATTATTATTATTATTATTATTATTATTTCAGTTTACTAAATTATTAAAAATATGAAAATTAAAAATAAATTCATTTTACTAAAATAAAATTTTTGTACAATATTAAAATTAATTTTAATAATTAATATTAATTTTTTACTCTTTATAAACATTTTTACAATTAAATATAACATTAACCATTATCATTTTTATATTACTTTAATAACTAAAGACATTTAAGTAATCTTCAATTCCTACCCATTAAACATACCCTTAGTCAAGAAGTTACCTAATGTGAATCCCCACCAAAAAAAAATCCATCATTTTAACGGAAAAGTAACTCCTACATCACTCTTAAAAATACTTTTTACTTCATATAATATTTTTCATGTCTGCAAAGAAATAGGTGAAAATCTTTGACTACCACACAAAGACTCACTTTTGCTGACAACTATTTTATTTAATATTTTAGTAATCATCATTTGCAATTAGTGAAATGATGTACTAAAATAATTAATTAATTGCTTGGGGTCAAGTAATTCTACAAAACACGTCTTCATAGGTATCCTATTCGTTTGATCTAAATTCTCCTTCATCTACGTTCAAAACCAAACAGGGTATACCTGTCAAAAGTACTCTGATGCTTAAGTAAGTAATTAGTCCGGACGAAAGTCAGAGTAAATACTTAAATTCATAATAAATGTATTCACTTACATCTTGGGTTTGACCCCTATTTATAATTTTTAAGATGGGCCTAAAATGAGTGAAGTTCTAATCACGGCTCAATCTCAATCAATTACACTAATTGATATTTATCCTTAATTTTGATTCTTAGCGTCTTTTGAAAAGTATTTTATTACTAGGACCCACCGTTCGACTTCAACTCATGCATGGCCGGATAACATTGATCTTCGTTGTATACAAAATTAGAGGTTGAAATAAGTGAGACCGACTACTTTTCTTCGTTATGGATAATCGTCCAGTTATACGACACAATAACTTTAAACAAAAAATATAATGAGTTTCAATAAGTTACAAATATGTGTCAATTAAATGTTTAAGCTCAAACATTTAAAATATTTTCTTCAATAAAAACTTGTGAATCATGTAGGTGTATGAAAATATACAGTTGCGAACTAAACTAATTTGTTAATCTTGCGAGGGTCATATAGAGATAATCAAGTAGTGTGTGATATTTTATATAACTTCTAAGAATAAGTAATAATAGCTTGTTATAGTTTTCACTTATTGTATCTTCCTTCTGAAAATAAATCAAAATCATCACGGCTGGTACTTTAAACTTTTGATTAATAATATCGTTTATTTCAGTTCATTTTCAACAATTTTTTTAAAATTTAGAATTAAATTAGGTAAAATGAATTAGAATTTCGTTAAGTAAAGAAATTACNTCCCCGTGGAATCATCTGAAATCCACAGTAACAAGTATCCACATCAGAAGTAGAGAATGGAAAATACAATGCAATGACCAAAGGAATACGGAATAAGACCTGCTGGTGTGACGCGAGCGGTTGCCCAAGACCTGGTGGTCGGTGTCCTCTTGGCCGCGGGGGTCCACGCTGAGGCATTAAGAATGAAAATGGAGGACCAGTTGCCATCTCTAAGCGAGGAAGATTCTGCAGGTGGTAATCAAGTTCTTCCTGTAATGGAGATCAAATGAATTCACAATCTAACATAGAAGGTGAAATTCACATCTTCTAATAATATGACATCACCAAACTGAAAACGAAAATCGGCATAATTACTTGTGATATTAAAGTTTGATGTGTTTGGCTATTTAAATTTCGTGATCCTAGCGCAGGAGCCCGTATAGGATACATTGGAAATTGAGGTTCAGGAAAAGGTGCTGGTGGAGCAGCCCTATTTTGTGAAAAATGTGCCTGCATAAAATAAGTAAATAATATTACCTGAATGGGATTTACCAAGTTTTATTCTTAAAGATGACCACAACATAATTATAAAGCAAGTAGTTGTGCCCACTCGTATATATTACCTCTAACATTGCTCTTCTCTCTGCCCTTTTCTGTGCAAAGGCAACATATAGAGATTTTCCTGCAACTACTCGACCATGCATCAACACAATCTACAAGTATCAACAGATTTTGTACGAGAATTAATAAGCTCTTCATCAGTTATTAAAGGATATTCCATAATATCTAAATACTTACAGCCTGATTTGCTGCCTCCCGACTTGAGTATGCAACAAATCCAACTCCTTTACTTCTTCCATTTGCATCTCTCATAACCTGAGCATGTCAGGGGAAAACAAACACCCTTTACGGCGACGAAGATTTGACAAATGCAGTTACGCATAAAATGAAGAAACATACTCACACACCTTGGCTGAGATTATTATACCAAACTCACAGAAAATTTTCTTAAGAGTGTCATCATCAATCCTACCGTCCAAGTTCTTTATATACAAGTTTCTACCTTGCCTACGAGAGAAAATCCCCCTATTCTGGTCATATTGCTCTGTCAGTTCACGCTCCCTTTCAGTTTTTTTCTGGGCTCTTCTAACACACCAAGTCTTACCATGATAGATCTGTCCATCAAGACCGTCCCGAGCTCTAGCAGCATTGTCTGCATTTGCAAAATTCACAAAACCAAAACCTTTTGATCTACCATCTGTATGTCTCATCACTACAGCACTTGTAATATCACCATATTCTCCGAAAATATTCTGCAACTCAGCATCCGTTATTGTGTCTGACAGGTTTTTAACATAAACATTTGAAAAGTTTGCGTCACTATTCACTCTGTCCTGCTTTGACACGAAAGGACCCATATAGATCTTTTTATCTTTGAGCAGCGTGCCGTTTAACTTTTCAATCGCTTCTCCTGCAGATGCTTCGCTCTCAAACTGCACAAAACCATAACCTTTAGACTGGCCAGAAGCATCCGTTGCAACCGTGCAAGATAGAATATTCCCAAAAGACGAACAGAGATCGTATAGAGCCTTGTGATAGATTGACGGAGCCAAATTCTGCGTCATCAGTCAAG